GAGATTCTATCTCAAAAAAAAAAAAAAAAAAGAAAAGAAAAGAAAAAGAAAAGAAAACTAAACAAACTCTTACCATACAAGGAGTGATTTGCCCTACTGAGGTGAAAACATATTCAAAGAAAAACACAAAGATTTATAGAAGTTGTGATCATAATTGCCAAAGCTTCCAAGACGTCCTTCAGTAAGTGAATGTATCAACAAACTGCATACATCCAGACAATACAATACTAAATGCAGTGATTAAAAAAAAAGAGCTATCAAGCCATGAAAAGACATGAAAGGATCTGAATTTGAAAAGGCTACATATTTGGTATGACTCCATTATATGACATTCTAGAAAAGGCAAAACTATGGAGACTGAAAAAGATCAGTGGTTGCAGGGACTAAAGAGAGGAAAGAGGGATAAACAGGTGGAGCACAAGGGATTTTTTTAGGCATACTACTATGACAGTGGATAAATACATGTCATTATATATTTTTCAGAACCCAAAGAACATACAACACAAAGAAGAACCATACAATGGATCTGCTTTGCACTAACTAAAAAAGTAAATAAATATATGGGCAGCACCTGTGGCTCAGTGGGCAGGGCGCCGGCCCCATAAACTGAGGGTGGCGGGTTTGAACCCAGCCCCGGCCCAACTGCAACAAAAAAATAGCTGGGCGTTGTGGTGGGCGCCTGTAGTCCCAGCTACTTGGGAGGCTGAGGCAAGAGAACTGCCTAAGCCCAAGAGCTGGAGGTTGCTGTGAGCCGTAACAACATAGCACTCTACTGAGGGCGACAAAGTGAGACTCCACCTCTAAAAAAAAAAAAAAGTAAATAGATATAAATAAAGAGGAATCCTAATGGAAACTATAAACTCTAGTTAGTAATAATTTTTTTTTTTTTGAGACAGAATCTTGCTCCATCACCCTGGGTACAGTGCCATGGCATCATAGCTCACCCATAACCTCAAGCTTCTAGGCTCAAGTAATCCTCTTGCCTCAGCCTCCTAAGCAGCTGGGACTACTAGCGCTAGCCATCATGTCTGGCTAGTTTTTCTATTTTCAGTAGAGACAAGGTCTTGCTCTGGTTCAGGCTGGTCTCAAACTCCTGAGCTCAAACACCTCAGGCTCCCAGAGTGCTAAGATTACAGGTGTGAGCCACTGTGCCTGGCCAGTAATAATGTTTGATATTGGCTCTCATGTGTAACAAACATCACACTGATGCAAGAGGTTAATAAAGGAAGCTGGAAGGTGGAGTGGGAGGGTATATGGAAACTCTCTGTACTTTCCAGTCATTTTTCTAGAAACCTAACAGTGCTCTTAAAAAAGGAAAAACTCCATTAATTAAAAAAAGAAAAAAAGCAGAGAAAATAAAAAAAAGAAGAAACTATATAAAAAACACAAAACATTTTCCCTGAAATGAAGGACAGAGAAGCACTGGCACAAAAGGCCCACAAGTATGTTGCCCACACAATGAATAAAGACAGACCCATGCCAACAGGTACCACTGAACTGTGAGGTTCAGAACACCAGGCATAGAAGGAGACCCTGAAGGCCTCCAACAAGGGGAAACAGGTTCATATACTCAGGAATCAGTAAACAACATCTGAGTCCTCATTAGCGACCCTGGACACCATATGGCAGGCATCCTCAAACTACGGCCCACGGGCAACATGCAGCCCGCCTAGGACATTTATCTGGCCCGCTGGGTGTTTTTGCTGCCACTGCCTGTCCTGCTTAGCAGCTGACTTGTCCTGGGGCCCACAGTCCGGCCTTCTAACGATCTGAGGGACAGTAAACTGGTCCCCTGTTTAAAAAATCTGAACCCCTGCCGTATGGATGAATACCTTCACATTTCTGAAGGAAAAGCCTTCCACTGACC